AGGAAAGGTTTTGAAAAAACAAAATTTGACAGATTATCTAATAAAAGTGAATAAAAGATTAAAGAAGATTTTTTTCATAACACTTTAAAAATTTTTGATCTATTTAATGTTAATAAATGACTTGTAGCAAAGGAGTTTAACATTATTTTGAAAATGAATAATTTATTTTAAATTTGTTTGAAAATGATAGCAGCAATAGATTACTGGTAGTTGTAAATTGCTGTAATTGTAGTTGCAGTAAAGAAATAGTAATTATAGTATTAATAGTAACTGTAGTAATAGTAGTGATAGTAGTAGTGATAATAGTTGAGGAATATCATCGAATATACTTCCCGCTCATTTATTTTCTTCTTTTTCTGATCAATGCATTTGTATGTAAATTGAAATGAAATGAGTAAAAAAGGAAAAGTTTTCTCCTGGACGTGAGATGAAAATAATTGGGTACAGGGGAATACAATTTATCAAAAGTAAATGAAACAAAGAAAGCGAATGCACCGCACTGCACCGCCTGCACTGCACTGCACTGCACCGCATCGCACTGCACCGCATCATCATTGCCTTCCACCAATACTATCACTACTACCAGCTCCACCGATCTATCTCACACAAACAATGGAAACGTTCCAAACTAGTGGCCATTCTCTTTTAACTCTTCCCCTCTTCCATTTCCATTTCTTTCTCCCGCGTCTTTTGCATACTACCGCCACACAATCGTAATCATTACGACTATCAGATTATTATATCATTTATCAAAATTATTTATTGTTCTCTCTATGATAATTTCTAGATGAGACATCAATGGAAACATCTGTGATATAAGTGACAGCGATATATTTGCGCTCAATTATAATGGGCGATTGAAATTCATTATTTGAAATTCGACTTCCACTACATTTTCATACCACTAAGGCGATCTCTTTTATTCCTCAGTTTGTTTTTATCAAATTAACCAAATCTACGATAACAAAGGAATGTCATTAGGTGATAACTTCTGCTGTGATTATCATTTTTGCATTTGCATTCTGCTTCCACCAATAAAATAAATTCAATCAGTAAATTGGACCGGTCATAAGCATTTAAGTCACGTGTTGTTTTATCAAAAAAGTTCACCATTAGATCGATAATCTATTCTTGTGCAAAATATTATTTGCAAACATTTCCTACAATTTCTGCCTCTTCAACTTCATTCAAACATATTGGCACTTCAATTTGAAATTGAAAGATGACAAAGGTTGAAAGATCGGGAAAGTTGTAACATTCCAAAAAACAAGCAAAGATTTTCGTATGTGAAGGAATGTAAGTGATAAGTGATGTCCGTCTTTTTCAGCTTTCTTTCTTCTTTTTTTCTTTTCCCTTTTTTTTAAAGGGTTTAAAGAGGTAAAGAAGGAGAAAAGGTTAAAAGTATAGAGACATAAGATAAGTGAACCCATCCTCTAACAAACAAAATACCAACAGGTAAAAAAAGTTCAGCGTCTACGATACCTGAATCATTTTTCATTAATAACTAATAGCAAAGGTTAATTTGCACCAGCAGATCTATTGCGCGCGCGCTATATTATCGTTTTTCAAAACTCTTTCATCATATACAATAAAAGATAAACTGTTGTACACTGTATCGGCAAATAATTTGACCTCGGTAACCAATGAAAATGAAAGAAACGAAAAAGCAAATTTCAAAAAAAGAAGTTAATGTTAATAATGATCGATAGATGTAGTAATTTAAACTTTCGCGGTCAGTGAAAAAGAATGGTGGAAATATTAATTAACAGCCAATGTTATCCTAAAAATTTTGTGTTCAGCTTTTTAGCTTTCATTTTTCACATTTTATTTGCTTCACATTAGCAACAAAATATCATTATATTTTTGAGCTTTGAAAAATTTTATTTTGAGAAAGAAATGAGAAGATTTGCTTAAGGATAACAAAAACGACTTCGCATAGGGAAACTTTTTTGTTTTTCATTTTTACTGTTTCTACACAAAACGAATGATAATGATAGATGGATTATGAGATTGTTGTGGGAATGAAAATTTAATATTTATTTCTTTTTTAATAGATAAATAAATCAACATAACAAAGTATTTCAACAAAATTCTTTTCTTCTATCACCGAAATAAAGTATATAATGACCGAGTGATCTTTATCATTTCACTAATTTTTAACATTATTCTTGCATTTTGATTTGTTGCAAATTAAAAGAGTGACCAATGGCTATCAGCTATAAACTTCATATTAAAATAAAATAATAAAGAAATTATATAAAAGTGTTGTTGTTGTTGCTGTTGTTTGTCTTTTACAACTGATGTCTAATAAATTTCGAATTCAAAATATAAGTGCATCATTTATTCAATCACGTGGAAGTATAAACGTAAACGTGGAAATCACTTATTTCTACGATATTAATTTGCAATTTTTGATACAATGACAATTAAATGATTGATAATTATATATTTTGAAGGGAATATTAATGAAAGTGAGGAATAAACAAACACAATTGACCATTAAAATTCGGCCGGATGAAAGTGTTTGCCGGGTGTATACATATTCTCAATAACCTAATTGCACTTTTGACGAGGAGAAAGAACGAGAGGAGAGAGAGAAAGATAAAGAGAGAGAGAGAGAGAGAGAGATTGGAGAAAGCAGTATGTTGAAGAATTATTACCATTGAAGGAAAAAAAATCACTTAATTTACCGTTTTTTCATCTTGTATTCATTGCATTATTACCAATTTATATATTCAAATTGTAAATAAGGAGAAAACAGAAAATCCTGAAGGAAATATTCCGATAGCGGTATGCCAATATATTTTTCCGGTCCGATCCAAAAGTAGAAGAGATGTTGAATGAAGCATTCTAAGAATAATCAAAACCACTCATAGTCATACTGACTACTGAGTTCAAATCCTTTGACAACTCTCATAGTATTAGAAATTTTAAGGAAAATTTGTGGGAAACTGTATCTACGACGATATACGATAATAATACTACGACTTATGATTATATGTAATGTATGAAATATAAATTGTAGAATAATTTTGATGATGAAGTGAAGAATATCCTGAAATATCCTTCTGCTGTACTTGATGAGAGTAACCCTAATACTGGAATATTTGATTTGATTGTCTCTTCAAATATACTGCATCAAATCCTAACCTTATAACTATCCATTTACATATATGAAATACTGTCGATATCATTCTTCTACGAGTACAATTACCGATCACTTGTCATATTTATTACTAATAAAAATATGGAGTAGAACCAGGTGGTATCAGTAATACCTCAGATACTCTATCAACCTATCATTCATCCTATTGCTCTTTTGAGCTCCTTATGTATACAGCTGGTTATCCATGCATCTGTAGTAAATATCTGTACATATATGTGTGGTGTGTGTTTGTGTATGTATAAATTAATTGGTTGTATTCGATGATAATGTCTTATTCAGTGATGGCGCTATGATAAGATTTTGTCACTGTTATGCTTTGGTTGAATGGCATAAAAGAAAAAGAAAAAATAATTGAAACTGTTGTGATTGTTATCGATGATTGGCGGTTGTTGCCATCATTCAAACGTATGACAAAGAGTAAATTGGGCGCAATCAGTATAATATATGCTACTATATCAACACCTTTGATATGAATCATTCTTTCCAAATTTTACCAGGCTTTATAAGCATATAATATTTATATATATAAATAGATGTTACTGTTTTTAATACTCTTGACAACTGATATTAAATTCCTTATCAAACGATCAATAATCTTTGTACTACTAAGGATGAAAACTTGAAAATCTTATAGTTAATCGGTATTTCCGCTCCCAATAATAACTTAAGCCACTTGCATAAATTTTAGAATGATATACTAAACCTATGTCATAATCTACCAGATTAATTAATTAGCTGAGCAGATTAATCAGCTAAGCAAATTTTAGCATCATAAATTGGAAGTGCAAACAGCAGTAGTGGAATTGCCGTTGTTGCTGCCGCTACTACGAGATTCCTTCCATTGTTTTAGATGATGCAGAAACTGAATTTGATACACTGAATGACCGAAGCGCAGCATTTAATAAAGATAAGAAAATTTTGCGATCATTAACACTAAATTAATTTGCGTTAATTTGATGACGGATCGGTTGACAGAAACAACTCAAATGATATGCCGCCGTATACAACGCATTCATCAAACTCAATTTAAAGACTGATAATACTGGTAAAAATCTCATATGAAAAGCTTAATTTTTTAAACAATGAAATTCGATTTACTCTTAAAGATGACAAGGCGGTAATATTTCTGATATCCAAAATTCTCAAATATCATGCATCATACGGAATTAAAAGACTGCCAATGAATTCCTGATGAAGCAATCAGTAAACCTGATGAAGCAATCAGTAAAATAAAGTGTTACATGCAAAATAAATTCTTGGCAAGTCAGAATTTCAGCAGAATTTTAAATTCGATAATAATTATTCTTCATATAGTTATGACCAAATCTTGAAAGGTCAGGGTCACTCAAATTACAAATGCGCGTTGGAATAGATCATATTTCCAACTCCCAATACGATGAGACTCGTTGGTAAATAATAAAATTTCATGAGGAAATGAGTAATTAAATGAATAATCAAATGAGGATTTTTGAAATGACACTTTGGGATAGGATGAAGATTAGAGAGAATATGATGACATCACTACCTGACAGATAAAGTTCTTCATATCACAATAAATTCTAATCTTAATTTAAATATCGATGATAACCGGATAGCACCGTCAATCCTAATCACCATCACCACTAGCACCTCTGATACCAGTGACAGTATCGATGTGTACACCATTCCACTAACCATGCTCCTGTTATTGAAGATGCTTTTCCGATGGGATGGTCAACAGAGTTCAAATATTCGCGGTAGCATCTTGAATACAGGAACATGGTAAGTAGAATGGTGTATACATCGGTACTGCCACTGGTATCAGAGGTGCTAGTGGTGATGGTGATTGGGATTGATGATTGGTGATGCTGATGATGATGGTGGTGGTGATGGTGATGGTAATGGTGATTGTGATGGTGGTGGTGATTGTGATGGTGATGATTATTGGTGATGCTGTGCTTGTCGGTGACCTTTGTTTGTACATTGAATTATACAAAACTCTTCCCCCATAATATTCTTTTGCGCACTATCTCTCTCTTCTACAACCCTGCCCTCTTTGTAACCCCGTTGTTGGAGAAGTTTCCAACTACCTATTCCTTCCTCTATCCTCAACCCTATTTGAGCCTCCTAAAAACCCTCCCATGCATCGTCCAGCATCCGATTCTTCTTTCCTCAACCCCGTATCGGCAGAATTGTCTAGACGATCAACAACTCTTTCCTTCTTCTTCTTCGATCATAACCGAATAACGACAACCAATGTGCTATAAACCCTACCTAAGCAAATCATTCCTACCTAATCATGCAAGCCATAATGATTGACCAATAATCGGTCATCGTTTTTCCTTTTCTACTCCCAAGGGCATTTGTTAGTAATAACGAATTACTATTATTATTATTATTGTTGTTGTTATTATAATATCAATATCTGAAATTGATAGCAGTTTGCATTTATCTTTTCTTATGAATAATAATTCCTTTTCTTATGAATTTTTGAATAATTTAGAAGGAATTGAAAAGTTTCGAAATTGTAAAAAATAATTTATAATTTTTTTTTTTTAAAAGTAATTGTAGCAAAAAATTAGGAGAAGAAGTGGAAAATGGAAGAGATGAAAAATGAGTGGGAGCCAAAATTAGTAATTAATGTACACCTATCTGCCATAGTAGAAACCATAAATCAGTAGTTGTAGGCACATGGCATATCAGTGTGTGAGCTAACAACTTCTCTCTCTCTCTTTCTCCCTTACTTACAGTCATTTTAAGTTTTTCACTAAATTCATTATATGAACAAGCGGGTGGAAAAGAAATATTTGTTGGTCTTTAAAAAAACGAACACATAAATGAATTGAATCGGTTCATCAATTCTGTATTCAATTATATTCTATTTTCCCCTGCCTGTTTCAAAAAATATACATACGTACACACACACACACATACACATACATACACATACACACATACATACACACACATACATATATACAGATACACACAATGCACACACAATACATATATACACATACACACAACTACTATAATTTAAAATTACGATCACAATGTTACAAAGCACAACACGCTAATAATTAATTCATTAATAAAATAATTTGAAAATTTTGGCAGTAAAAAAAGAAAACTTTTTGTTGTTCACAATAAACCGCTCAGTTTATAGCATAGTAAATCAAAAAATATTATATAAAATCATAGAAAGTTACGATTGCAACCTTTCAAAATATTTATGTTCTGAAAATGATGCATGATGATGATGACCTTGCTAAAATGGAGCATGACCTATTTGTGTGCTAAAGTATGACATAGACAATCTCACTAACAACACTGATATTACTCTTAGAGAAGAGAGTAGTAGATTGTGAATAATATAAGTGAATAAGAAAAGAAATTGGAAAGCTAACGGTAATTTTATGATTGTCAAATATCGGTGAAAACAATTTTAAAATGAAAATTCATGGAAGAATCAAGAGATTTTATATAAAAGATGAGTAAATGAATTGAATTTAATTTATAAATGGATTGAAAAGATCGCAAATCGGCCATGAATTCATCATAATTTCTCAATCCAATTGAATGAAAACTTTTGATTGTAACAATTGATGTAAATTTAAGTTTAGTAGTCATCATAAATTTAAGATCTTATTGCTTCTTCCCTTATTTTAACAAACAACAACAAACGCTCCTTATCTCTTTTTTCACGTGTAAATTGCAACTTCCCAAAATGCATCCTTACATTCAATCTTGTCACTTTCCGCCTTAAAATACATGCAATGATTTTGTGCAAGATTCAAAAGATATCTTATATCAATGATATCATCCTTTATTATCAGCATCCTTCTAACAATGAATTTCATTGAATTTAGTAGATCTTAAAACAAATTTTGATCTAAATTAGACCATTTTGAGTTAGAGCAACTTCAAATCCTTTCTTGGAATTTAGTTCACTTCAAGCATAGGAATATGCAGGTTATTTCTACATTTACAGCCATTTTACAATCAATTTTGTTAGCCATATTGTCGACATCTCTACTACGATAACAATTAAAATATTGCCTATTGACTTGCATATATTCAAATAACGTGAGCTTTGCTTTTTCCATTTGCCATTATTTCTCCCAATAGCTTAAGTTTTAGTTTTTCTATCAGCCTTTCCTGATAATGGATGTCAGCAAATTTCGAATGGTGTGAAAGTAACATTATGGAATTTGAAACATGTAATACAAAATCTTTCAGCAAAAAAATTCTGCCCGAAACTGGCACTATCTTTGATACTACTGCAACTTAATACAACGTTGTATAAAATATTTTCTTCACCTAACAAGATTAAATTGCAATAGACAAACAAGCTTTTAAAAGACAGTAAGTGTGTTGCCTGTTGTAATGCCACGCCATACACAATAAACTTCCACTATTTATCATCAATATCCCAAATATTACTTCTTATTAATTTTTAATTTCGAATTTATTCAGGATAGTTTTTCTAATTATTGCAAATAGCATAGCCATGAAATTGCAGCATGGCGAGTTATTCTGCACTCAGCTAAGCTATAAGTTTCAAAATTATTCAAATTCTTAGCCGGAAAACATTCCCATATGTGCCTCCAGTCGTGATGAATGCAGTTCAGAACTAATAAATGCATTATATTATCTTACAAAATACATAAAAAGAAAGCGAGTAACCCAATTCAGTGAAGAAGCATTGTAATAGTTGACCCAAAAATTACTCGGATGTTTGCAAACCAATCATTTTTACTGTTAGTCTTTATTTGAAAAAAGAAATGATAAGCTAAATGAAAATTATCAAAATGAAAGCTTTTCACTAAATCTAAATCGATTCACTAACATCTGATGTTTTAATTCAAAGTTGTTATTGCTGATGATGAAGCAGGTTAGAGCATTCAGTTCCCTCAGTTTCGTCAAAAACAAGCCCTGTGAACAGTAAGCAATACAAAACATAGATTAAGATAAAACTTCATGGAGATCTATCATTTTGCACGAAAAATAGCATCAACTTCAACATCTATTGAAAGAGAACTGTCGTTTTAGTTTCGGGAGATGAAAAACAAAAGCTCAAGACATCATAAGAAAAAAGTAATGCTCATGCTTACTCTACAAGTGATTAACAATAATTCATATAAAAAGTATGATTCTTGAAAAAAGTAAAACCCAAAAACAAGTTTTTTTGTTCCTTAAGCTGCAATGAAAATGGATAAATTTCCACCAAAGCAGAAGATATTAAAAGGATTACAACAAAACTATTAGAATAAATAGGTATAAGTAATGGGAACTATTATTGAAAATATAGAATCTCTATGAGAAACATCGAAAACTTGGAGAAAACAAGAATAGAAAAGCTAGATTCACTGGGATTTTTTTTTACACCGCAGTAACAATAAACAAATTTTAAAAATCCGCTAGCTTCTCAACTCGAGTTTTGAGATGCACGAAGATGGGATATCAGATGATCCGGAGAAATCTGCCCTTGACATATTTGGTGCACTGCTGTGAACAGTGGAAATCTGAAAAGAAATACACAAATATAAACACAAAATAGATAGGGTAATTCCGAATAAATATAAATAACAGCAAATGTAGGGCTGATTGAGGATTTTCGCAAGTTTCATATCCTTAAGAGTTGACTGTTTAATTTTCTGAAGTAAAACTTTATTTAATTTTTTTGCTTAATTTTCTGACAGTAAAACTGATAGAATTCTTCAAAACCTTTTCTAGGCATAGTTGAAACCACAGTAGAATTATCCCGAATTTTTTATCAGAAATATTTTTCTTTACGTAGAATCATTCATCATCTCTAACTCTTTTCTAGTCATGAAAAAACTCTAACTCCCGTGGTTATACCTATATTAACTATTTAGGGAACCATTACCTCGAAACCATGTTGTGCTTTTTCAACATAAGATAAACTTCTTCAGCTGTCATAGGACCCTGAGCACTTTGTCCATTCAGCATCTCCTGCTCTAATTGTTTGATTGACTGAAGAGGAAAATTATAAAAACAAAAATAAATAAATTAATATCCGCAAAAAATTTCGATATGCTACAATCACGATTTCATCTATTCTGATCCAAAAACCAAGCAGATTAAGACAAAAATAATTAAAAATTCAAAACGATGTGAATAAAAATTCTGATAATGAACTGCAGTAATTTCACTACATTTTTTTTAAATTTTAATATCCTGGAATGTAAACCATAACGCACTTTTGAAACGAAAATAAGATTTGACACACGAAGATGTGATATTCATCAAATACACTGTAGAAGAGTAAATAAATTTGGGAATAAATAGTGTATTTGGGGGATTTAACACTTTCAACTCACTCACTTTTCCCGTTTTAACGAATGCTTCGCATATTTTACGATTTCTGCCGGCACTACATGTTGCTATGAGATCAGCCAAACCACAACTTTCAAAAAATGTCCGAATATTCGAGCCGTGATAAAACAGTTCGACAAACTGCAATATACAGAGGTTATCAATTTTCGAATTGTTCTAAGAAAAAGTTTTTATATTATTATTCATTCTGAGATAAGATTTTGATGCTCAAATCCATCCGCACTATGATGATTAGCTTAATCTGTTGCCAATTCAAATGTTTGACAAAATCTCCGACGGTTGATCTAATAAAGTAATGATTACGACAGTAATTTCCATAAGTCCCAGTCGGATGATAGCTGATTTTGTATTACTTCCATAACCAAGACCATCAGCAAAACCTGCAGCACACGCCACAATATTCTGCAAGAAACAAAAAGGTACAGAGTAATACAATTTCAAACAATTTCAAACCTTCTTTGCATGGCTATCATGAGTAGAAAAATAGAAACTGCTAACTTTGAGACCACCACATAACTCGACCGTATTTGCATCTTCCGTCATAGTAATCTTGAAATAGTCCGTATCAAACAATTTTTGTAATATAGACCATCTATTCTTTTGATCTTTACAGCCTACAATTATCATTAGATAAATCAAGTGAACAATAATTGTTAAACAATTAAATATTCTTTATATGGAAGGTGTCAATGTATACATGTTATCAAAGATATCATATCACATAACAGCTCATTTAATGACGCATATTTATTAAAAAAATTTAAAACAATACTTTAAAAGATTCAAATCTATGCCTACCAATAGTAGCCTCACAAAAATCTTCATTTGCTACTTCGGGAGCCAAATTTGCACCCATCAGAACAGCTGTATCAACATTCAACAATTCC